ACAACACAAAGAGACTAACCCTGAGCAGGGCCTCAAACAAACCTGAAACAATCTCCTAATCTATCTCTAAACAAAACTCTATACAACACCCTAAGTAAGGATCTAAGCAACAACTCTAATCAAAACCCTAAGCAAGGATCTAAACAAACTCCTAGGCAAGAGGAATCAATCCCATTCTCCAAGCTTCAGAATAAGCTTACCAGAGAAAGGAAGCTAAGCAGACAAGCTCATAGTGCTTTCCTCAGGAAAGTACCAGGAGGTTACTACTCAGGAGTCATATCCTATGCGGCTCGACAACTGTGATCAGTTTACATTCCTCCTCAGGAGAAATTAAACTCACATGAAGGCTCCGGCGTCACTGGATACTTAGGAAAGAACCTATATGCACTAGGGGAACTAAGTGAACAGACTCAGAGGACCTTCCTCAGGAAAGTACTAGGAGGCTAACACTTAGGAATCGTATCCTACGTGGCTCAACAACTGTGATTAGTTTACATTCCTCCTCAGGAGAAATTAAACTCACAAGTTGGCTCCAACATCACTGGATACTTAAGAAATCCTAGACAAACTACTGGAACTAAGTGAATAGACCCATAGGACCTTCCTCAGGAAAGTGCTAAGGGGCCTCCACTTAGGAATCGTATCCCATGTGGCTCAACAACATGTGATCAGTTTATATTCCTCCTCAGGAGGAATTAAACTCACAAGTCGGCTCCGACATCATTGGATACTTACGAAAGAGGCGAGAAGAAAGGATGAAAGTCATTCATAGTGCCTTCCTCAGGAAAGTACCATAAACTCCCTTCAAACTTCAGGATCTCGAACCTCACAAACAGACAACAAGCTCCTAGACTAAGCCTCAATCCAATGCATCTCTGCAAGCTCCAACAGGACCTCAATCAGCTCCCACCTTAAGAAGAAACCACAGGCCAGCAAACCACAGGAGACTATCTCTGAAGTTCAACCACAGTTGAACTTCAAAGTCAGAAGTCATCAAGACCTCTCCTATATTCAGGCTCAGACAAATCTTATCAGAATACTCTACAAAAATTTATCAAAGATCTAATGGGAGACCTACATGGCTCTATGACAGCATACTAAAAAATCAGAATAAAATTCCACATCAGATGAAAGAATTAAAATCAGCAACACAGACATATTCACAGACCAATTATTCAAACATCAATAACAATGAAAAAATGCAGTTAAAATGAAAATGCATGATTGGGCTAATCTTTTTGTACTATAAAATTCTGCACTGAATTACGAGTCTACAGAAAAAAGAACGGAATTATTTGACTAATTCTACCATTTTTCATGAATTTTCTAATGATATGCATGCATTAAAAATATAAAAAAAAAAAGAAAAAGAAATCAATTAATGGAAAATATGCAAAATATAACAAACAAAAAATAAAATGTCACTTTTATTTTTATTTAATTTTCTAAACATCTTCATGAAAAAGAAGAATTAAAAAAATCATTTATTTACAATTTATTATGAATTTCTAATATAAAAATATAAAAGAAATTGAAAGAAAATGACATGGAGGGGGTTTAAACAGCAAGCATTCAGGTTATTATCTACATTGGGCCCTCAATGGGGGGGGGCCATTAGCAGTTGGGCGCAGGCCCATGCTTACTAACCAAAAACAAATAAAAAAACTGAACTGAAATGCAGGGGGGGTGTTGCATTAGCAATTTCTCAGTTGCTACCTCAATGGGCTTACGCCCAGGGGGTGTTGATAGCAATTTGGGGCCTAAGGCCCATACCAATCCACTCAGGTCTCTCAACCAGGGGGGGGGACAAGCAAATTGAGGGGTGCGTACGTTCAGAAACATGCTTGGGCCTAAGCCCAGTGCCCCAAACCCTAATCCAGTATGAACCCTAACGAACAAAACCTAATTTCCTCACAATCTTCTGGTACTGTTCACTCTCACCCTAGCCCTAACGCCGCTCCATCGTCTCCCCCTCATCCTATCTCTGCAATTCTTCTTAGAACAAAACAATCTCAGATCCTCACACATCATGAACTAAAATCACACTTTAATCCACTATCACACCTGAAATCAAACTTTCATCTAACACTCCCAGATCGAATCAAGCTTTATAATCATATCAGCAAAGATTCAACTAAACCCTAACCACGCACGAGTAAACGAATCGAAAGGAGGGTGAACAAACCTGGAGAAATGGAGAAGACGATGAAGGTCCTGGAACTGGAAAATGTTGAAGGAGCTTGCGGAGATCTTGAATGTTTCTGGAGAAAACTTCGTAGATTCTTGATGATTGGACGAAGAATGAAGTTTCTGGAGATATTGCTTGGAGCTTGAATATAGTTTGAAGTTTTCTGGAAATCTCGCCTGAAGCTTGTTGAAGGTTTGAGTATTCAAAGTGATTTCTGGGAATCTTGCTTGAGATTGAACGTCTGGTGGTTACTTGAGACGATGATGACGTTCTGGAGAAATTGATGAAGAGCGATGTGAGAAGATGAAGTTGTTGATTTCTGGAAAAATTTTGTATGAAGGATGAAGGTTTAGGGTTTCTGGAAAAATTTGTACGAATGTTGTTGAAGGTTTGGATGGATTGATGGAGGATTGATGTGTTTCTGGAAAATTTGATGTATGAAGGTTTGAGTTTCAATGGTGATTTCTGGAAAACGTGGTTGAAGGTGATGAAGGTGGAAGGGAGGAGATCGGAGGAAGGAGATGAATTTTTGGGTTTTTGGTAGCTCCGGTGGAAAGGACGGTGGCCGGAGTTGGTTCAGATGGCCGGCGGCGAGGGTTCACCGGTTTTGCATGGCCGCCGGTGAGGTTGACGGAGAGACTCAGGCGAGGGTGTGGGGAGGACAGGTGGCGCGCATGCGCAGAGGGAGAGAGAGAATGAGGGACCCGTGTGGCGTGCTGGGAGTGGGTCTCTGAGTGGCGTGATCAGTGCAAGAAACGTGGGGCTTTGCATGGCCAACACGTGTCAGCTTTTATTACCCTGGAAACGCGTGGACACTTCTGGAAACTTCCAGGCTTCGCTGGAACTGCTTTGGACTTTCTGGATTGTTTTTGGACTTTTTTGCTGATATTTGGGCTGCGTGGACCATTGTTTTTGCTGATGAAATCTGATGGGAATTGGGCTTTACCAAAAAAACCTCCCTTGGGCCCATACGAAAAAATGAATAAAAAAACCCAAAAAGGAACTGATTAATATCCTGATTAAACTACTGACCACTAAACAAAACATTAACCCTAATTAACTCTAAAAATTCAATTAATCCTAATTAAACTCTAAAAAAATCATTAAAAACCTAATTAATTCTGTATTATCCTAGTTAACCCTAAAAGATCAATTAACCTCTAATTAACTCTAAAAATTCAATTAATCCTAATTAAACTCTAAAAATCAATTAAAGTCTAGTTAATTCTATATCAATCTAATTTTCTATTAAAAAACCTAATATTATTTAATATCTATTAATAAAAGAAAAACTATATCATTTTCTATATTATCTAAAAAACCATTAAACCTATTTAAAATCTATAGAAAAATTCCTAAAAATGATTTAAAAGAAAAACCATATTATTCTAAAATGATAAAAATATTTAAAATCTTATTTATTTTCTAAAAACCTATTTAAGAATTCTATAAAATCCTATAAAGAGAATTAAATTGTTAAAATATTCAAAAAACCCTATTTAAATTCCAGAAAAATTCTATAAAGCCTATTAAAATTCACAAAAGCCTATAAAACCCTAAAAATGCAGATGAATGCACAAATGACCCCCATAAAAGCGCACGAGACCAAATCGAATCGAACAGGTATCCCCGAACATCAGAATATCTTCCAAATCACTTGAAAAATCACCGAGGAGCGCACAATTTCCTGAAAATAAAACCCTGGCAATCTGGACTGGATCTGCCACATCTGATAGACAAAAATCAAGCTGTAAACTCTGATATCCCCTGTTTTGCACAGGAATCACATGTCTGAGCTGCGAATATGAATTTAAACCACGAGTCAGATAAGAAAATCAGTTGGTCAAATTTTAGGGTGCAACAGATGTCACCGTATCTGATTGGATATCACAACATAACTGGGAAAAATGGTTTTCATCAATATAGTTCTGTAATGGAATAAACTCTCTAATACGAACTCCTCTGATCTTAATCCATCTGCATGGTATGTGAAACACATTTTCTTCTCAACTCAATCAATGTATATGCATCCAATCTGTGTCAGCCATTACATCCCTAATACTAGATCATAACCGCCCAACTCAAACATCACAACATTCATCTCTCATTTTCTTGATTACCCTTCACTTCTTTAGCATTTGGTATTTCCATCGCCATTTGGTATTTTTGGTGTTTTTGTTTGGACATTGAGTATTAATAAATTACTAATAAGGGTTTTATTAAATGTAATTTAATTTTTAATTGAAGAAAAAATTAAGTAATGACTAAGTATCTTTTAATCTTAGTTGATAATAAAAAATATTGTATCAATCTATTCGCAAATTGTGAAATATTAAATATAGTTACTAATATTTAAAAACAAATATTAAACGTAGACACTTCTAAGTTGAAGTATGGTCGAATATATATATGTCACTTGATAATTTAATAACATATCAATTTTTATTATTTATTTTAAAATAATAATTAATTAAAGTACACTGTCAATGTGAAATTATTTTATACTATCATCCAACTAAAATGAATTATTTTTGAAAAAATATATAAAAAACTAATTATTAAAATAATTTTAATTAGTTGACAGACATTTATTTCAATTAATCTTTTAAAATAAATTAAAATTTTAAAGGATGATGATTTTTTATTAAGCTATAGTATAAAATTATTTTGAAATGGGTATTCCTATGCATTAAACTCATATTTAAATAGCGGATACAAGTACATGTTGATATACTTCAACAACAACTTTAAATAGATAAAGGTCAGTGGATTCTCACTCTCAGTCATCTAATCTTCTTCCCTAGGTTTCGATATGAAGACGGATAATAAAGGTCATGGTCAAAACTACTCCGCTTGTTCTTCTCCGTCGTCACTGACACCGACGGAGGAAACAACCAGCAATCTTCTTCATGAGCTGCATCTTCCGTTCGATTTGGTGGTAGAAATACTCTGTAGACTCCCCGTGAAACACCTCCTTCAGCTCCGTTGCGTTTGTAAATCATGGAATTCTCTTATCGCCGGAGATTCCAAGTTCGCCGAGAAGCACCTCCGCTTGTCAACCTCTAACCACGAACGGCACTACCTCATCCGAATCCCTAAGTTCACAAAGGAGTTGGTTGTATGTAATTCTCCAATCTCCTCTGTCTTCAGCTCCACATCAACTACTTGTGTCGAACAGTTCACCTACTTTATAGGAGAGATTGTTATCATAGGTGGAGCTTCCACTTGTGATGGCATCATATGTTTTAGGATAAGTAATTCTCTTGCTCTTTTGTGTAACCCTTCCATTAGAAAATACAAAATATTGCCTCCTTTGACATTTCTACCCCAATTATTTACCTTATATACCTTAGTGTATGATCGTTTCACCAATAATTATAAGATTATTGCTGTTAGCACGCATAGTACAAAAATATATGTCAATATTCATACTTTGGGTACTGATTATTGGAGAAGGATTCCGGACTTCCCCGCTCCTTTCCTTTTGCCTAAATTGGGAATATTTATGAGTGACTCTGTTAATTGGTTGGCACATGCTGATGATGCTCATGCACTGTTCGTTGTATCTCTTGATTTTCGGAAAGACTCCTATCAAAAGCTTTCACTTCCTGGTTTTGATGTGCAATCCACAACTTCTTCTATGACCTTAGGGACATTGAGGGGTTGTTTGTCCTTCCTCTATCAAAGGGACAAGTTTTCTCATATTTGGATTATGAAGGAACATGGTAATGAAAAGTCTTGGACTAAATTGTTAATTGTTCCTCACATGAAAGAATGTGGGTTTTATGGCTATTCTAGAGCATTATATATTTCAAAGGATGACCAAGTGCTGATGGAGTTTCTCAAAAATGGGAAATGTAGTTTGGTGGTTTATGATTTCATAAATAATACTTTTAAGATTCCTAAATTTCCAAACAACATCCATGGTAAGATGATGACACACGAAGTCTATGTTGAGAGTTTGATATCACCTTTCTAGTTGTTGTGCTATGTGACCTCATCTAGAGACTCAAATGCGGCCAATAGGTTAATCGAGTGTTCTTGTTATTTATGGTGTATGGAACACGCAACTTGAGAAATTGCTGTTATTTTTCATTTATTTGTTAGTTAGAGCAGTCGGTTTTGTGGCCGCACATTACATTAATACCTTCCACATTAGATTATAATTTTCTCTTATTATTTACTCTATTATTCTCAGTTTTGTTTTCTATATCATTTCTTGGTGTCTACAATCTGCTGTCATGTGCTTGACTCACATTTTGTTTTCTATGCAATCCTTAGCCTCAAACAGACTTCATTCAATATGTGGAATAATTTGTGACAAAAATTAAATCATGTGCAATTATTAATTCTAGATCCTGATATATTTTGTTTGGGTAGTAGTCTACTAATGGTGTGTATCTTACATGTGATATGTCACTAACTTCACAATATGGTTTTACCTTACTAGAACATTTTTCATTAGGATTGCTCGTGCCCTTTTCATCGTAACCATGTATAAAAGGGTGGACAATATAAATAACAGTTATAATAAAATACAAAATCAAACCAAAAACTAAATCAGTTAGAATACTAAAGTTCTTATTTGCTCATGAATTTGAGATTTACATTAATTTACTATGATGATCCGATCACTTGGCATGCCAATCATTTGGATTAGCATGATAATCACAGCAATATTTAATTTTCTGTCAACCTGAATGATGAAAAAAAAGAATAATTCATTGGATAAACAAGTGCTATGAGGCCATTTTAGACTCTAAAGCAAAGGATGAAACACTTGTAAGTTAGTGTCCATTTTTTGTTGAAGCAAAGAATATCAGAAACTGGTATTTTGTGACAGAGGATTTTATAGTGTAGAGTTGAGCAGGCAATGCAAGCAAATTGGGCGCTAAGATACTCAAGAAGCTGCCACAGGATCCCGTGGCAGCAATATGCAACTGTGGGAGCTTCTCTTTTTCATATTTGTTACAGAGTTGTTGCTCTACATGGATGTCTTCAATCTGAAACTCAGGTAATAAATCAATTACTTTGGCACGGTTATAATTTTAAAGAGTAGAGTTTATATGATGCCAAAAGAAATTATACTTGTTACCAAAATAAGGAAGCTGTAGATTAACCGAGTTTCATGATGCAAGCTTATAGCTGAGTGTGATATCTTTTTCTTACATTAAAACTTTCTTCCTCGGTTTTGAATTTTTGATGTCTATCACCACATGAGGAGAGTTATACATGTAAGCATGCAAACTCACATTCATATCTGCGTGTCAAGGAACTTAACAAAACCAAATATACTTCATTATCCCTATAGTGCAAAGTGAGGTGCTTTGGTTTGTTTTATATATATATATATATATATATATATATATATATATATATATATATATATATATATATATATATATATATATATATATATATATATATATATATATATATATATATATATATATATATTTTGTTGGCGTTGTTTAAACTGAATGGTGTGTGCACATTACCTTTTTTGATGTCTGATTTCTTCAGTAAATTATGTGTCAGCACAGTAAGAATTGCAACTAGTAGAGTTACTGGTTTGGGTTGTACCAGAAAAAATTATAAGTCTTGTTTAGAACTACATGTTGATATGTCTTTAGAGTTCTTGTTAGTGTACTAAAAAAATGCATTCTATTTTTCTAAAAATTAACAATTATATATTTTTCAAAACACATACTATTTGAAGAATCCGTAACATTTGCATCTAACCATGTGAAAAGGAAAGATCAAGGAAGCAACATCGTTAAATTTTTGTGATACTACATGTATGATAAGATATGACAAAAAGACATGGTTCAAAATTTAATCCATTGAATTGGGTTCTGGCCTAGGCCCCGGCTTGACCGGGCAGTCCCAGCCTAATGATACTCACTTAGGCCCAATCTAACTTGGGCTACATCCGTCGAGCACAGGGTTCCCGTCAGGCAGATAATGGTCTCTCCGCGGGCAGAACCTTCTTCAGGAATGTATTGAGTTGAGATGCGTCTGGAGATGCATCTCTAAAACAAGAAAATATTAAAAAGTTTTTTTTTAATTTATTGTTGAATTATGAAATAAATGATCACTTATATTAAATATGTAGTAGTTTAAAATTGATGTTTTTTAAAATCTTACAAACATTTATTTTTATATAATAATATAAATTAAAATATATATTGTGCGGGTATGGGGCGGGGTGGGTACTAAGATGTCCATCCCCGCTTATTGAAGTGGGTAATTACCTGAGCCCGTGCCCATACCTATTTTTGCGGGTTTTTACCCTATATGTTATGGGTGATTTTATGGGTACCCACTAGGGATGGGACAAATTGTCATCCCTATTGATGTTATAATTCATATAATACTTTTTAGAACTTGTAGCAATTATAGATGTCCCATTATAGCTGTTGATTGTATCGACTATAGATGCTAATCATAGATAGATTCTGGTTTCTAAAGAATATATATGTTATAAAATGACATTAGGTATTCAGATTATATTGAAGTTGTGACATATAATTTGTGAATTTCAGCAATGAAACATCCATGAAGATTATTCAAGGGATGGTTAATGAGATATGTGAAAGTTTGATTAAGGGAAAAAGTATGCTAATAAATATCGTAGAAGAAGTAAATCTGCTATGAAAACTATGAATTAAGCTCGAGCTCCTACAGTTGTTGTTGTTGTTTTTCAACACACAAATAATGAGAAGGATGTTATACATACTATTAAGGAAGAATTTGTTGATCCAAAAGATGTAAATAAATTTAACATGGCAATTCGGAAAGAAATCATTAAGAAGAAAGATAAAGATTCAGAGAAGGTTGTTGTAAAGAAAAAATATGATGGCAAGAACAATTGTGTTGGTAAAAAATTTCATAACATAGTGAAAAAATAATTTGTAAAGAACGCACGGGCCTCAAGTGAAGTTAATGAAGAATTGATTATGGGGAATACACTATATTCTTGGAAGAGACGCATAGTCAATACAAAAATCAGTGCCGCAAATGTTATGGTATGGATATATTTGTATTTCATATATTGTGCTATAATTGAAAAGATTTATAATCGACATGCTTTCATTATGTATCGTTGCAACATTTTTCAAGAACAATATCAAAAAAATACCTAAGAACTAATATAAAAGCGATCAAAGTTGTTGATGTCGAAGTAGAGAAAATGTTCAAATGTCAAGTTCACACTGCAAAGTGAAATAACATACCAAATCCTTCTGAAAAGTATCTTTCTAAAGGATGGTATGAGTTTGCTAAGAGCAAAAACCTCTGTGATGGCAATACTATGATCTGGAGAATGAGGCGTATTTCTCCATTCGTGTATGTAAAAGTACAGAGGAGTTTATAAGTCTGATGTAAGCTAATTTAGCCGATATGATGATAATGTTAGGTGGTATCAACATGGTGCGAATGATCCGTTTTGGATATCCATAAAAATTATGTTGGATTTAATTTTAGCATTTATGAACAAATGTCTCATCAGTTTATGTTAGATTTAATTTTATCATTTCTAAATGTTTTTATTTTAATTTAGTAGCAGTAATATTATAATTTATGTAATGTATGTCTGTTTGCTATATGTGGGGTTTTAGATTCAGTTTTTGTATTATTTGATATTAATAGCTGAATCAGCTTATTGCAATTTGTGGTTTCTTAGCCAACATCAATTTAATTTAATCAATCTTTTAATTATTAATATAGTTTCTTGACTGTGTTTGGTGTTATAAATATATTATAATATCGTGTAAAAGAAAATATAAATATTATTTGTTATATGTTAATTAGTTTCTTGATTGACTACTATAATTTACGTATAGTATATCTTAAATGTAACCAAAATTTATCAAATATAATAACAATTAGAAAGAAAAAGAATAACCATAACTTTTTATTAACAAACATAATAATAATCAGCGGACCAACCTTATTTATTTTACATTTTTTTTTTATTACACTGGCCTAATGCAAAAAGTGGTGGGCCTAAGTTGAAAATGAATGTATAACAATGTGATTACACTGATCCAATGCAAAAAATAGTGGGCTTAAGATGAAAATGCATGTATAACAATGCACTTGAGAATAGAGTTTAATTATATTTATTTTATCAAACTGCATCCAATGGTAAAGTTTGGAGAATGATACATTCTATCTCCTTCCGGTAGGTATGTTTTTATGTAATTCATTTCAAAACAAATGTTTGTTTCTCAAACCCTTTAATTAATATACTGATTTGTTCGTTTACTAAACCATAAAAATTAACCTTTTGGGTATGAATCATGCATGTAAAAACCAAATTCATTTTTGGTAGAAAGAATTTTTACTATCATTGTAGTAACCCACGTGAAGACATGATGAGATATGTGAGTAGAATTCAAAAAGAGTTTCATGAAGAGGAAGACCAAAAAATTGAATCTCTCATAAAAGATGGTTTTCTTGATGATGCATGCAAAACAGCTGATCATAACAGCGATGTAGAGCGGAAGACATACATTAATATCTTAGGACAAAATATAACACTATTTATGGTTAATTTTAATTTAATTTTTTTTTGTTGATAAATCTTGATATTTTATTGTTCTGTGACTTTTTTTTAGTATATATTTCAAAGGATGTATCAAAGAAATATTTTGGTAATATGCAAGATTTAGTAAAGATGGTAGATCTGAAAGCTGACAAAGGTTATAATTGTGTAATCCATAGGGCTGCAAGGGATGAGTACGAAAAAAAGATTGGTCGCGGCTTGTACGAATACACAAGAGAGAACATGATTCAGCCAGAAGATTTATTGTTTTTTACAATGACTCCTTTTTTAGATGTAATGTATGTTCACTTGGTAAAAGCTTGATGATTTGGATAATTGTTGTTATATATATATATATATATATATATATATATATATATATATATATATATATATATATATATATATATATATATATATATATATATATA